GACGATATTCACATTGGTTTGAAGCTGAGTCAAAATGTGTTCATATTTGGATCTGATAATACTGAAATCACCAGACTATAGGCGAGATCTGAAGAACTATTTCAAGAGCTTCCTTTTGACTATTTTCACATTGAGGGTCTTTCTGGTAATTCTGGCAACTGAATTAGTAATAAAGAAGCAAATGTCTTCTATATAAAAGTACCAACATCAACACAATTTAATTATGCTTTCAAGTTGAATACTTACCTATAAAAAGTTCAGATTTCCCAAAAGAATGTGTTTCTGCTGAAATAGCAACATGCAAATAGCCTTTCAGTCCACACATGCAACTATTGCATAACAAACTCACTTCAGTAAAAAAAATTTCCTAGTCTAAGTCAATTTTTTTGTGCCTCAGAATAACAAAGATGCTAACAAACTATTTCAGTCAGACCTTCCAAATCTCACTAGTGTAAATTGCTCCAACTTAACCACATTTTAAACACAATAAAACTCAGCAACTATAATCTAAATCATACACTTACCAATCTTCTGCCCACAAGCCTTGAAGTCTAAAAGTTACTATGGAAACAAATTCTACATTTCCACAATTGGAAGAGCCAGTTAAAAACAAAACAAAACTAAAAAAAAATGAACTCATTGCTAACTACGCCTTCTTCAAAGTAGAATCATGACAATGGCTTTTAAGCTTTCAAGCAGTCAGGAGCAATGAGAGTGACATTCAATTAACAAATTATTCAGGGACCCAAAGCAGCATGTCGCATAAGACTATCTAAATAAATAAATAAATAAATCAATTCACAGTTTCTTCCAAAGAAGTATTTTTACAGTGTATTTACAACATGCCATTGGAACTGTTAACGTGTGATAAAAGCGCTACTAAACCACAAATTATCCTGTAACCTAAGTGGAGGCAGAACTGCTGGCTGAAGCGTTACATTCAAGCTGCATACAATCTAAGTGTTTCCTACATCAGAGAATTACAGAAAGATTTAATCTCTCACAGCTCTTTTCCTATCTTAAAATGGGGATGGCAATGCTTGTAATAGCAGATAATACTTGGGAAATGTGCTGCTTAATGTTTATCTGCATGGCTACCTAATCATGCAACATCATACAATTGCCATATTGTGCTCTGTTTATACTCCATGACATTTATCTGTGACCTTGAGCAACACAAAGAAACTGTAACTCCCAAGGTCATCTCTTACGTCTACAGAGGTGAAGAGATGCATCTCCTGATACCTATTTTATAATAAAGTCTGATATATTTCAGATTATACATGACCTAAGAGCACATGAAAGATCAAAACACAAGGGCTAGAAGCCAAGAACATGCACAACTGGGGATTAGTTAAAAACTTAAGTCCGTGGAATTTGTACTATTGGATGAATTAGTACTGGAATTCTTTTTACTCCAAGAGTCCTTTATTTACCTGTAAGATATAAAAATAATCAGAAATAGCTCTAATATGGAAAAATGATTGCCAAATGTCCTCCTTATGGATGATATTCTCAAAATAACTAAGGGGGGGGGGGGGGGGGGGGGGAAGGCATTGTACTCCCCTTCAGTTTGACATCTCATTTATCCTCTTAATGCCTCTCATTCATTTTAACCTTGTTTAATCACTATATTGATTTAAATATTTTGTCTTCTGAGAATTCCAATGAATGTGACAGTCCTGATAATGGTCTATGCTATGTGAATCCCTGTCAATTATAAACTAGTTTCAAAGCACTAATGACACTGAAGTACATCAGACAGTAACTGTTCTTAACCTAAACCAAATGCGTAAACACAGTGTCGAATAGTTGTATTCAGGTTTGTCACATTTATTTTTTTTCAGTGGACATTTCTAGAAGATCTTTAAAATATGGCAAGTTATTCATCAGGATTTTTGAACTTGTACAAGAAAGAGTAACATAAACTGAAAAAGTTTAAAATCAGGAGTGGACTAGGAGTCAATAGATCTTTGGAACATATTTCAGCTCTATCCTGCATCAGAAAAAATACACTGAAGGGGGAAGGGAAATCTCATTTCTGCCTTTTTTTTTTTTTTAATTAGTCTTTCTTTTTCACAGTTTAGAAAGTTTCTGATAAAACGTGTTTTCTTCTGTCTCAATTGTAAAACAATAAAGCTACACGGAAAGAAGCAGATAACTAAAGAATCTTACATTTTTTCTTTGAAAATAAAATGTAATAAACGTTACAGGGATTGAATTTGTTCACTTTAAATTGTGCATTAGAGGCAGATTTATTCCCTTTCTCCTCAAAAATAAATATGGATACAATGGCAGGTCTTAAGCCCTCAGTATTACTCCCCCATGCTGTTTCAATGCAAATAGTGAAACTATTTCTAGAAATTAAAATCACTCTTATAAATGGCAGTTAGTAAAATCAAACGTTGTTAAATATTGTTTTATTCTTCTTTTGTTCTAAAACGGGTTCAAACTTAAAGAGGGGAAGTTCAGGTTAGATATAAGGAAGAAGTTCTTTACTGTGAGGGTGGTGAGGCAGTGGCACAGGTTGCCCAAAGAGGTGGTAAATGCTCCATCCCTGCTAGTGTTCAAGGTCAGGTTGGACAGAGCCTTGGGTGATATGGTCTAGTGTGAGGAATCTCTGCCCAGGGGGGGGTTGGAACTAGATGATCTTAAGGTCCTTTCCAATACTAACTATTCTAAGATTCTATGATTCTAGAAAACTTTACCCGAACAAAATTCAAGAAGGTATATGCTGCTTTTGGTATAAAAATGCAAATCTGCCAAAATGCTATATGCTATTTTGGCTTCATAGAGACCAACTGTAATCACAAATTCAATCAAATTTCCTAGCACTGTCTGCACAAGATAAACAGTTACCTCTCTTACTTAGAGGTATGTTTCAACATTTTCAGATGAGAAATATTCATGTGTTCATGCAGCTTTAAGACATTCTCCAAGTTTCTGATTAGTTACTGTCTCTGGTCATTGAAGAAAAGTCAGTGACAGAGCTTATTAGTAAAAAAAATATTAGCATCATGAAAGAAAAACATAATAGATACTAAAGGAAAGAGTGGAAAGGCAGCTATAGAGAATTGCATGTTTCTCAAGACATACGGCATAAAGGACACTGATTAAAAATTACCATATAAACCAGAATATTCTAAGTGCGTTATATGTCAGCCAAAGCTTCAGGGAGTAAGATAATTTTGTTTCTTTCCCTACTAAAAAAGTATAAAAGTATAAAGTAATCATGATTCATTAAAAAAAATATCAGTCTCTGTTTCAATCTTCCTTGTTTTATAAATCTTTAAGGCACCTCTGCATTGTACCTCTTGAGTTCATTCTTCTCATACAGTATGGTCGCCTGTAACTCTGTTACTCTGAGGCTGAAGACTCAACACCCAATCTTCTGTTAAGCTGAAAAGAAGAAAATCTTCAGTGATCTTTGCTTTTATAAAAAAACTACTGTACAATTTCGAATTAGATTTTGACACCATTTTTTCCCAGAGCAATAGGGTGCACACATGCACCTGACCCAACACTAATAGTCATATAATTTAGCAATTCAAGGAATTAATAATTTGCCCCACTATCTTCCATAGCAATTGATGTCTAGCAATCAGTACACATACAAGTTTACAATGCTAATTTTGTCATTTTAGAATAATCATCTAGGACCAACATAGCCTTTGATTTTCTAGCAAACAAATTTCTTCTGTTTTTGAACTACAGTCCTGAAATTATCTCAAACTGACCTTCAAGTATATTATAATCATCACCCTGCATCTCTATTGTGTTTCTTGAGAGTTTGCTTCACCTCTACTTCAAGCTCATTTACTTTCTCAGTAGAAATCATGTCTCCGCTGAGATAAGAACATGTTAATTTTACCACAAATTTAATCCAGAAACTTTTTGCAGTGATTTCAAACAGCCAGTTACAAGACATATTCTGATACATAAGGAGTTAAAAAAGAAATTCATTAATACTTTCCTTATGCATAATCCTACAAATCTGTAGTACACTAAACCAGATAAGGTATGTTGCCTTATTTCCTTAGTTAAAGGCTTGATTACATTCTGTAACATGGAAAATTCCTATGCATTTTTAAGTTTAAACCAACATGTTTAAGTTTAACCCAGTATCTGAACCAATATTTAACCGATACCTAAACCAATGTTTAAACCAATATGTTTAAGTTTAAACCAATATCTTGCATATGCGAAATATTGAACATCTGTGATCATATTCTCATCTGCTAAGAATGGAAAAGCTTTTTGAGTTATTTATGGGTTTCATGTTTTGTGTTTCTCCTTCTCTCAAAGTACCTTTTATGGTCTCGTGTATAGTCTGAAAACATGTTCATTCAAGTGAGCTGCTGTAGATTTCAATTTTCTGAAAAGTGCCTTTTTAGCCAGCTAACTTCCAGTCATGCCCCTGTTTTCGCTAGACATAAATAACTTTTACTAACACATGGGGAAACACCATAGACTAAAATCTTCCAATCTCTCAGAAAACAGACATCTAAAAAGGACATCAGCATCAAGCAACTGTTTCACAGATGATGAGAGACTGAGCCATCACATCTCTGAGAAAAGCTAACCACTTGCCCTCATTTAAAGAAGCATTAGCAGTGCCTTCCAACAAAAGGTCCACTTCTTTTCCACAGCCATATAAAGGACATAGATTCAGAATTCAGCTGGCTGTTCAGATCCTCTTAGCACATCTGAGATTGTCAATCAGGACACAAGAAAAAATTAAGTTAAGGTGGGATCTGCATGACATGCTCCTGCCTTCATATCCTTATATTGCTGTGGAAACCATTCTACAACTATTCAAATTACATCTACAGAGAAAATTGAAATAGTGTCTCTTCTTTGAATCTATGTACTACTATCCAAACACCTGGTTTAAAATCTGTAAGATTTTTCTGTAAGAATATATTATGTATATTTAACATTCATAATCTCCTGTCAAATTTTCAAGCAATAAAAGTGAAAAATATTAATTGCAATTTAATTTAAATTTTATGCTAATTGTCAGTGACCTTTGAACCTTGGAAGTTGTGCTACTATCCACGTGGCAATGTAATTATGGAATTTTATTTCCTATATGCTGTAAGCAATGAAACTGCTTTAATTGACATGATATATATTTGCAATAACTTTTGTTTAAATTAAAAAGCAATGACAATTTTAGCTCTCTGGAAACTATTTTTATCAAACTGGTTATTTCTTTAGAATAAGAGATATGCAGAAGCAAACACTTTGCAGAATGTACAATATATGTTTTAAATCCTAGTGTAGTTTGTATGCATGCCATTTATATTTAACACTTCCATACCTCACAACTATGTACACACACATAAAGACAAATCCAATCAGATCTAGGCTGCCTTCAGGAGATTTTACTTTCAGCTGATTTTTGATTGATTGTTGAGCATGCTTCACAATGACTAAGTGGGATGCCATTTTATGATCCAGTATCAATGCTGCAGTGCACCGCAGATGTCCAAAAGAGGGTTACAAAATAAAATAAAAGTAGTTATTTACTTTACTTTTTTTCCTCCAATTTTTAAAGGGCAATCTATATTTAGCAAGCAGTCCTGTTGTGCTTTCAAAGAAAAACAAACATCGCTGATTTGTTTCTTTCTTATTTTACCATTTTTCTTTGTCCCCATACTCATAGAATAAGTGCTAGAAAGCAAACTACAAATAGAGTTATCATACCAAGGAGGATGTTTTTGTTTGGCACCAATAAAAAAATATTTTGCCATCTGGAAACAGGTATTTTTCATGAATTCAGGTAAATTTCAGACTAGCCTTTGAAATAGTCACAGGAGCTGCTTTTGTGGGGAGTTGAAGTGAATCTTTGTAATCCCATCCCCCAAACTGAGCATGCTGAATTGCATAAAATATTTTTCTATTGCCAGAAAAATCACAATAACTTCTAATTTTTCCATAAATGTAAAAAGAAGTGTGCTTTGAAATTACCTTTTATGTTCAAATGGTGCTAACAACAGAAGCTACGTACTACATAAAGATGGATTGAGGAACAATGAAAAGAATGAGAACACTCACAACTCAAAGGTCTTGCTCTCACCCACAGCACAGGGCCTCATCTGATCTCGCAATGGTTTATCCTGCTGTGACTGAATAGACTTCATTAAGCTTCATCCTTTATATAAACACAAATGAATACATAAATAGAAAGCAAAGAGTTGCACAGATTTTACACTAGAAAAGGGGGGAAGGGAATCTTAATCAGGAAGCAGCCAGCTACAGCTCCAGTTTTGCTTTCAAAAGCTATTCATATACTACTTAGCAAGAAAGCTTATTTACATCATAGCTGCAAAGTAACAAAACAGCACAGTATTGTAAAACAGTAGGGAAATTTTGCCTGTCAAAGAAATGGCATTTCTCACGTGCAATGAAAACTCAACGTGACCTAAATTAGGTCTTTAAATTAGAAGCATTAAACCATACCAGCCTTTTCTAATAATTTCTTTTTGCTCCATGTTAAGTAAAGAACTCTCTTCTTTCTTGGATCCTTTCCTAGCAGCACCAGTTAGTCATCAGAATGTACTTAGGACTGATACTCCACAATGAGCCAGTACCACCCCTCTCACTCCAGCATCTTTTCAGCAAACTGTATTTGGGAAAAGAAGATATAAAAAATAGAGAAAAGAATAGACAATTTCAAAACATAATTGATTTCTGTTACGCTGAAAAAATAAACACATTTTTGTCATCAATTATTTTACTGTAAGTAGCTTCTCATGAACTAATCCCTTTTAAAAATAAAACAACAAAAAGGTTTGTAAGATAAATTTTGTAAATGCCACAGAAGCCCAGGATAACCCAACATACCTGTAGCTATATTTACTCAGCAAACAAACCTTCGACTTGTAATTTGCTTCTGATGTAGCCTAAAAGCACTTTCTTATATTAAAGCTTATTGATGCCTGTAAGGCCTTTTTACCTGCAGCTATTTCAAACTTAGTGAAATAATGCACACTAATCTCTAAGACTTTTATTCCATAATAGATGTTATTCTCACTAAATCAATTCAAAGGCTAATTGGGGTGGAAGGTGGCTATCTCTAGTGGTTATAAATACATTTGCATTACTATCAATCTTTTACACGACTGATGTTTAACGAGGCTGAACAAGAGCTCAACCTAGCTTTGGACGTTAAAACTCCGTACAAACTCGTAGTCAATGCTGCCATCACATGGAAAAACGGGAAAAAGAAGAGTTTTCAGTTCGGGCTTCTCTCTCATTCTTGCTTCCCAGCTAGCACACACACAAGATGGCAGGGATGCAAAATGCTCTCATCAAACTGACTATTTCTTTAGAATTGGAGATACTCAGAAACAAGCATTTGGAAGAATGTACAATATATTTTTTAAATCCCAGTGTATTTTCCATGCAAGCACTTATATCTCCATGAATGCCATGTATGTTTCCATGCATGTCCTGTGCATTCCAAGGTCCAAGCAGCTCTTCAAGAGTGCAGATACTGCTGTTGCCTAAACATCCTCAGCTTCGCTGGGCACCTGAAACTCAGCCTATTACCATCTACCATGTTCAGGAGCATAACAAAAGGCAGCATGTACCCTGTGACAATTTAAACCAGACAGGCCTCCCCTCAAGGTCTGGACAGGCCAGAAAAGGTTATTGGTTCCATCAATGTATCTTGGACCATTATCTATGTACATACATTCTAAGTCACTCAAAACATCTGTAATTACATTCCATTCTCCTGTCCAATGAACAGGCTCTTGTCGCTTTATGAAATAAACTTGATTACACACACAATCCAGGGGAAAAAGGCAAACGCTTTGCAGTTGTACAGAGACCATAATTTAAAGCGCTATATAATAGTCCACAAGTTTCAGGTGTCAGAGAGAGACAAGAACCCTTAATCCTCATCGTGTGACCATCTCCAAAATATTTACAGACAAGGCTGTTTATGGCATTTCTGTGAGCTAGGTAGAACAGGATATCCAAAATACAAAGTCCAGTTTCCCTTCCCAAAACAAATTGAGTTTGACTGGAACAGGTGATAAGGCTTTCCTTAGACTATAAACTTAAATAAACATTTTGTGGCTGAAGAGTGTTTAAAACCATTTTTATAGCTTTTGCCTAATAAGAAATACATAGATATGGGAAATAAAGTAGCCATTTTTCTACTAGAAAAGTTACTTGGGGAAAGACTTGTTTTCTTTATTTGGTTTGTCTGTGAAACAATTAGATTCATTTAAGTGGGCTCAATGACTTTTTCCTCCATGCATAATTTCTGCATGGACAGCTTGAAATAAAGTGTATCTTCCTCATGAAGAAAGGATGATCTAAGCCAGCTATTTAACATACACCTACAAATCTAACCCATCACCAGCCAAACTGTTAAAGGCATTATCCACAAAAGGGTCATACGGAGTGAATGGCAAATGCTTAATAAGCTAGCAGCCAATACAACCTTTATGAAGTTACAGCATTATTAGGTGCTCTCTAGTGTTTTACAACCAGAAGCTTAAAGTGGCCAATTGCTGATACAGTAGAAGACTGGGTTTATTGAAACCAGTTATTATGATTCCAGAATTCTGCTTTCATATGCCTAACTGTAAACAGTTCATAATCCGTAAGTTATAGTGTTAAGACAGCAGGCAAGAAACTTGTATTCTGTTACTATTGAGCATTCTTACATAAAGTGTTAGAAGACAATTTCCTCTATAAATATTAATGCTGTAGCATAATACTTCACCTTGCAACTGAAGGCAAGCCTCTGTCAATGAATACACAGGCTAAAATGAGTACTGAAATAGAAGGGAAAACAGCATCATGAAGACAGACAAAACAAACAAAATAGTTAGAATTAGTTACAAACACATATGCATAATGGTAGTTAATAGCACTTTCTATAACTACAGTGTAAATTTCCACTGTATTTTAAAAGGAATTAGAGGATATAACTGTCAGATGGTCAAAAAAAAAAAAAACAACAGCAAACAAACAAAACAACTTAGAAATCTTTATCAAGACTTCAGCCAGGAATTCACTTTGACAGAAAAGAAAGACTCCTGAAGAAAAGTTCACTTTAGGAGCCCTGTATCCAAATGGGCCATGAACATTACAAAAACAACCAAACTCCCCTGGAATGTAGTGCACATGCTGCAGCATTAGTATTGCTCCTTTCATGTATTCCAAGATCACAACTTGAATAACTGACATCTTGAATTTCTGCCTCAAGTGCTTTTAAATGAAGTATTTAATTAGAAGACAACTGAATATTAATTTATTTTACCAGAAACAAAGACCTTCACTCTTTACTAAATGTTCCAGAAAATGACCAGTTGAAGACAAATCTAACTGGTTTGCGCAGTGTAAGCAGATGTGAAAAATGAGAAACTAAGTACAGATAAAATATGCAAGTTGTCAAAATAGACATTCCAAATATAAAAAGGGTAGAGATAGTCCATTCCAGATTATTTTCCCTGACATTGTAAAATACTGCAATGCATTATCAACAGCAATAAAAAAAAAAACAAAAAAACAAACAAACAAAACCACAAAAAACAAACAAACAAACCAACCAAAACAAAAATAAAACAACAACCCTAGAGCAAAAATAAATATGGAAAAGAATGCAGCACTGAATGTGAGGGCTGGTTAACATGCCAGTGCAACCAAGACTATGATCAGAACCTGCCAATTCAACTAATGCTGCAGCTGTTTACGAATTTCCCTACCACTGCTATGTCACTATAGAGGAGAGAACATAGAAGCATAGAATACCAGGTGGGAAGCTACTTCAAGGATAATCTGCTCAAACCTTTCTAGGTAAGCATGACCTAGGATAGATGTCCCATCACCGTGGCCAGCCAAATCTTAAAAGTGTCCAACATGCAGAATTCACCTTTTCCCTGGTGAGACTATCCCAATGGCTGATTGCTCTCAGCGTGAAAAAATTTTCCTTCTGTATCCAACTGAAATGTCCCCAGGAGTAACTTGTGCCCATCACCCCTCATCTTTTCCATGTGACTCCTTGCAAAATGGGAGTCTCCATCTTCTCTGTATCCAGCCTTTAAATACTGGAACACAGTGATAAGGTCTCCCCTGACCCTTCTTTTCTTCAGGCTGAACAAATCCAGCTCTCTCAGCCTTTTCTCATGTGGCTTCCCACTTGAGATGATCCAGCCCTTGGATCATCTCTGTGGCCCTTCTCTGGACCTTCTCCAGCATGCCGATATCTTTTTTGTATAGCAGGTACCAAAACTGAACACAGTATTGAGGTGTGGCCTGACAAGCTTTGTGTGCCTTAGAGCTTTCACTGCTATTATGCAAGAGCTGAACTTGTGATAAGTAGTTGGATGTTTTACAGGTAACAAAACTACCCCAGTCAAGTGGCAGCATTTTATGATCTTGCATTTTGAGTACCAGCCTCTGAAATTCTACTATTATTGCACAGAATTACAAGTTTTTTAATACAGTAGGGTTAATGCATATTTTCAGAAGTAAAAAAAAAAAAAAAAGAAAAGAAATAGAGAGACAAGGGTTTGAATAAACTCTGCTGAACTAATCTAGGAAGGTTAACAGCAGATTTTCCAAGCATGTACTTCTAAAAGAAGTACATGACAGTTAACCCAGTGTAGAATAGGAAAACTGAAGTCAAAGATGCTCTGGATACATGTAGAAGTTGGAGTTCAGAAAGCAATCAGGCAACGTAACAGAAGAAAAAATTCACTGAGGCCATTAAACTGATAAATACTGCTTGTGACTGAGAATGGGTCTGAACTGTGGAAAGCTGAAAGAGGCAGCTACTGGGGGAAGCATCACTATAAGCTTTCCACCCAACCCATTCTATGATTCTATGATTTTCTGACATTCTTTCTTAGGTACCTGATAATGATCACTGAGAGTGACAGACTACTCTGCTAAATACGCAGGTAGTCTGATGCAACAGGGCTGTTCTTGCAGTGTGACTTTCAAAACATTATCTGTTTTCACTCTTCAGTCTTAATTTGAATTAAGCATATTTGGAAAAACTACATTTGGAAAAAGTCACAAAAATTCATTAGAAATGTCCCTGTAATTACCTGTCTAACACCTGAGACCTGCTCATGGTTTCTGGTGGCCATCTTGATTTAAATACACTTCACTAAAAGCTTCACAGCTGTTGAGTCAGACAACCAGTGTCATCACACGAAACACTGACTAGAACTGATCAGCTGAGTTTCCACACAAACTGATTCTGTGCCTTTAGCTCTGCACCTTCTTCCGTAGATTATGATAGCTCACTACTACACTGGTCTTAGTTATCATGCCTGCTAAGGGAAGTACTAATGATCACACAGCATCAGTGAAAAAACTGATGTTTTACTTATGTTAATAAGCAATGTTTAAATTTAAATCTCTAAGACACTTCAGCAACCATAAAGTTCAGTGTATGAGTATTTATAAGTTAAAAATTATAGCAGCTGGCTATCTGTGCTTTTGTTTTATTTTGTTTTGATCATTTTAAACACTTTCTTTAAAAAGAAAGACAGTTTCTATTGCATGGTAAGATCATCCACATGGAAGCAGATGCACATTTTTTGTTGAATTGGGCCCTAAATCGTACCACATTTTATCAAGCAGAAATGCCTTAGTTTTGTTGTACTACATTACCATCTATTAAAACAAAATTGGAATCTTTTCAGTCTAACAGCTTTCCTTAAAAGACTCTCATAGGCAGGTTTGATCTTTACATTATGAATTCCATTTCATTGTATGCTCTCACATTTATATTACTGCTTAACATGAACTCTCACTGAAATGTGACCTGACTATTTCTATCTATATTTATTCATGCCAAGGTTTCTGCTTAACAGCTGTGGGGTTGAAAGTGTAGTATAGTTACTGTAGGAATAATATTTCCTGATATTTCTGACAATGAAGGTCATGCCAGCTTCACATAAAAGGAAGTGTACTTTTTCATGTTTTTCAGTTGTGGCATACATTTTAAATTACTTATTATAATCACCTATAGCAGAGTGTTGGCCAAAACTGCTTTTTTTCCCCAGCTCCCTTTTTTGTCTTTTAAATCAGGCATATAGATTACTGTCAATATTGCCCTGCCTACAGAAAGAAAATACCAAATATTCAGATTCAAAACTTACTGAGCAATACAGCTGAAATAAAAAAAGCCCAAATGCATTGCCTGAGTTCTATTCATGCATTCTTATCCCACTGGCAAAATAATTTTACCTTTCTAGACTAAGCATTCAAAGAAAAGAACCCAGAGAGATCTATAAACTTTTAAGCTTCATGTTCTTATTCAACCAGATCAGTAAGAATAACTGCACAAATCTAGTTCCAGGATGAAAGATGTGGTTGATTTCTAATTCAGTTTATCGGCACACTAGTACCTCAGTTCCTAGCTGGGCGTCTCTACATAGCAGCCATAGCTACTGTGCTAATTCCTGGATTACACACTTGTACAGTAGATTTCCGAAGTTATTAGAAGGCTCAGAGCAATAGATATTGCTACCATAAAAAGACAGCTACTGAAATTTTGATCCCATTTTTCTAGTTAAAAAATCAGATGTTTTTTCTTTAAGCAGATAAATGCATTTAGACATACGTAGATGTCATTATTTGAGCTCTGTAAGCATGCTTGCATGCTCACCAAAAATGCTCTGCTGTACAGTTTAAAGTAATACCATTTCAATGAGTTGTGAACCTTACAAATATTTGTAAGATAGTTTTTAAAAAAACAAATTTAGCCTTTTTGTGTAGACTAGTTACATGAGACACCTATTGAATGCCTGTTCCTAGGGTATCAACATTTACAGCAGTTTAACATACTGAACACAAGATCAGTAATTGGATTGATGTTTTGTGCGCGTGTGTTGCTTACGGTTTTGTAAGCAATACAATTTAGCTACAAAATGGAGTATTTTCTAAAGCTTTTATTCCATTCCTGGTTGCAGTTCCTAAGAAGGCATCTTTTATTTGGAAATAACTTACTATTTCAGTTACAAAGCACATACACTGAGTCTTTCAAATGTCCGCTCTACAAGGCAGCATTGCAGCACAGCTGAAATAAAGGAATTTCCTTCATTTTTTACAGAATAGAAGGAATTATGTACAAACCAAACAAAAAATGTTAGTTTTGTGTCTGCACAAGTGGTTTTGATCAGCAAAACACAAAATGTTTTGGTCCAGGTTCTCTCCCTCAATAGCTCCATGTCACCTATCCTAGACAGCCCAGCTCCTGTGACACAACAATAATACCTCCTTATTCCTCCCTTCACATAGGGAATTAACCCTGCTAAGAAGTTGGAAATCTACCTGCCATGCAATTAGCTTGGGAAAGAGAGCGAAACATGAGTATCTGGTGAGGGTGGTCGTACAAATGCTTGTTGTCAAGGTGTTACTGTCATAAAAGGATCAGCTGAGGCAAACACTGTATTTGTGAAAACACGGAACTTGATGGAAACAACCTCAAAACTAACTGCAGTCCAATCAAAGCATGTCAGCTGTAGCCAATGAAATCCAGCAATGCTGACGAAAAAGAACATTATATGAAGATGGTGGTGAGGTCATTACTATTATTTTGACAAGAAATACACAAATTGCAATTAGTTGAAGTACATCATTGCCCACTGTTGCACTCATATGCAACTTATAATTATGATAGTTCAAAATATTATTTTTTCAAATATGTATATATCAGTATGTATATGTAATATAATATTAATATGCATTGATAAGCATCTATATAAATATGTATTAATATGTATATAAGTTAAATGATCAATATGTATTAATACGTACATACATAATTCAAATGAATGCATAGTACTTCAGCCCATAACCCAAGTTTTGAGCTCACCCATCAAAATACATCTAGAAACCTGCTAGAATATTAACTGTGGAACTAAATGGTAATACTGAATGCTATATTTCCAAGACATGGATGTTCACTGTTATGTATGGTATTTGTAGACTTAATATTGAGAAGCAGTATTACAGAATGGTTACAGAGTGCTCCTAGACAGGATTACACAAAAGCCAAAACAGTTTGGTTGCTATTGACATGCTTCTTGGCAAAGTTAAATTCTGCCTCATGGACCAAATTCAACACCTACATAGTGTTATACCTCTTCTCTAGAATACATCCCTTAAAAATTATTTGACTTTGGAAGAATGCAGACCAGTGACCTATATGCTATCATTTGCATGGATGACCTGTTAGACTGCAATTCCAACATGAAATCAAATATCACTGTGAAGTACCTTTAATATGCTTCCTGTATTAAAAACACAGCAGTTGCATACGACTAATTAAACTTCCACATCAGCTGTTGAAGTTGCACGGATCGTATTTATCTAGTGTGCCAATAGCTCACCCAAGTTCATTTATGATAGGCATACCCTAAAGAAAATCTTTGTGGCCAAAAGTCCGAATAAAATAATTTCTATCAGAACACAAAATTACCAATCAATAGAAATCACTCTAAAATGGTTAAGCTTTAATATTAGTATTGAATTGGTTTCATTTTCTGGATCATCCAGATGAACACTAGGCAATATTGTGTTGTTTTTAAACAGAACATACATAAGGATTGGATATATTCTTTTTTTAAATATATCAAAGTCTGGTAGGCTTTTAACCTACTGCCTCTTAATTTTCCCCCTCCTATTCCTTTACAGACAGTATGCTTAATTTAATTAGTTTTATACAACAATCACACCCAATCTTAGTGCAGGAGTTTTGCCTTTGAAACAGCAATAACTGTGTGTGTTATGTGTACAAATATATATGAATTTTAAAATCTGCCTTTGGTCACAAAAAATGTTTGATGCCTTAATCTCTAAAGTATAACAGCAATGTAGCACTGGAATGAACTGTCATCACAATTATAGTCCATATTATGAAGTCATCACTTTATAAGGTACTGGAATGATGAAGTATAATTCAGATCTCAGAAATTACATACATTTACCAATTCATCTGCTATGCAGACAAGATGTACTTCTTAATCAGGTAAAACTTTCAGATATAAATTTTGTGTGTTTATGGTGATGAATAAAAAAAATTTAAACTATCAGATTTACCAAAATGATCATAACAAATCATTAAACATTCTCATCAGGTTAAAGTTAAGACTGTACTTTTAACTGTAGTTTTGTGCAGTGCAGGAAGATGTGTAATGCAGTTACACAGTACTTACTTACCACACATGTGGTAAGTACTAATTCAATAGCATAGCTTCCTCACTCTTCTCCAGAATGCTATCCTTACTGGGAAACATTTCTTCAGACCAATACATATTGTCTAAATTTTTGCACTGAATTTCGTAAATATCATTCTTCCTAAAAAGTGAAGAGCACACATGTCTGTTAGGAGAAAGAGTCTAGGACTCCAGCAGTCTTTGGGATAAAATTATTAATACAAGTTTCTCTAATAAAAGGAGAAACAAGTATTAAAAGGTCCATCACACTTGTTGTTTAATTATCCACATAATATTATGTAAATATTATTATTGGACTTCCCAATCTGATCAATGAGGCCAATCAGAGTAATAGCAAAATTAAGCAGAAATTACTACGTTTTCTCTAAAAAAAATCCCCATTTTTCTTTAATATGGCCATAAAGAGTTCAAAGTGATACCTACCGAAGGAAAATAACCACACATTTCAATAGCAGAGTTCTTAACTTATGCCAAGAAACAGTAAGAGAAAAACGGTAAAAAAAAAAAGCTGACTTTGTATTTTTGGCATCATCTTTCTTGGAACTGTTTTACATCCAGTCAGATAACTGTGTTTTTGGTCTCCATTCAATTTGATTTAATTATCCATAGCTATCAAGTAAAATCTATTAATACTACTCAGAAAGATTTGTTTTAAAACCATTGTATATACAATGGTCCTCTGAGCAAACTAGACATTTATCACAAGACTTGGTACCAATCATTGCATTTATCTTTTTGGAAGGTTTATCTTGCTAGTTCTTAACACCTATCAACACAACAAACCAACTGAGACCAGTTACTCTGTACTGTCCTCATAACACATCAGATTTGTAAGCACTGACAAGAAACCTCTAAAGATCGAGTGCCATGTAGTCAAAATGAGACTCAACATGAATCCAGCCCCCATGACATTAAAGAAAAAGCTTTGCATTGCTCATCTGCACAGCAAATTGCACCCTGTGTTAATACATCTGCTAAGAGGAACTACCTGGCATATTGACAGTTTCCTCAAAATTGGCAGATGTTTTTTAAAAAAGCAGTTAGCAATTCCCTTGTAAAACAATGTGGCATTTACAAAACCTGAAATCTCACCTGTCATTCTGATGTCAAAGTACTCTTTCACAATAGTTATTGTAATTGTTTCAAAAGTTATACCATATATTCTTAAAAGGTGAACTAAAACAGAAAAAAAAACAAAAGACAACAGCATCAAGCAAATAAATAGAGATATATATAGCTCATAAAAGAATAACTACAAAATATCTGAAAACAGGATATCTAAAATTAGTTTATCACAAACAAAAATGCCCCAGAATTCAGACAGGAATACTTTTTGTTTTGTTTTTCGTTTGTTTGTTCGTTTGGTTTTTTCTAGAATACTCACCTACCTGTTATTTGCAAACTGGACAGGAGGAACCCCAGCAGCACAGTCCCTGAACTGCCATCAGATGTGAACTAGAATTATGAGCCATATCTATCATAAAACCACAGAATGGTTTAGATTGAAAAAGACCTTTAAATATCACCTAGTCAAACCCTCCTGCCAGGGGGAGGCGCATCTCTCAGAAGATCAGATTGCTTGAAGCCTCATCAAACCTGATTTTGAACATTTTTAGGAATGGGTTATCCACAGCATCCTCGGGCAACCTGTTCCAGTGCCTCACCACCCTTATAATAAAAAATGCCTTCCTTATGCACAGTCTGAAGTCACCAAGGCTTTAAGCTGCGAACCCCGCTGAGGCCTTGGTCCTTGAGAAGAAAAAACACCCTGAGAAAGCACCCTTTGCTGACCACCACCTTGCACCAATTGACAAAGATGGTGTCAGGCTTATGTTCATGGGGGCTCCCCTCTTGTCCCCATTACAAGAACACCATCTTGAGTGCTGTAAGGTGGAGAAGTCATGAGGATGAGAAGGCACTCTCCCCTTGTTTCCTTCTCTACTCTCCCACCACCTGTGAGTAGCAAAGGACAGGAGCATCTCAGGGCAAAGCTGGCAGGGGAGAGCAGAACAGGCGGCGAGTGTGTGATGTGCAGAAGGACTTTGCCCACCCCTGTGGTGCATCATCCAAGTGCCAAAGCAGACCTGGATGGAAAGAATCACAGATGCACAGAGCACCAGGTGCTGGAGGCAGCTCTTGATGCATCCCTGAGGACGAACTCGAGTGGCCAGGAAGCTGCGGCTGAAGATGCCTTGCACTCTGGCTGCAGAGACACCTTGATTCAGGCTGGGCTTGGGCAATCAACCACCCCTCCCGCTGTGCCAGGGTGCTGCTAGGCCCATGGGCAGGAGTGGATGTGCCAGGGCAGACAGCACAGCTGCAGGTGAAGGCTCCCGCTGATACCAACACACAGACATGAATGCAAATCGAAGACGGCACTGCACTTTTATTGAATAGAGGGACACCTGAAAAGCGGCAGTCCCTTAGAGGTGCAGGGCATATGGTGTGTCTGGGGATGCAAGAAGAGTGGGCAGGCACCTTACCAACATGGCCCAGACTTCAGGGCAGCCAAGCAAGGCAAAACATGACTAGGGACCACAGACAATGGGGGGAAAAACTCCTCCTGACTGCAAACCCAGGGCTCCAGTGGTGTCTTCAGGTCACAGAAGCAACATCTAATTCCTGCAAGAGCAGCAGGAACTTGCCCAGAACAGCCCAGAGGAGCCCTGGCAAGAGACTCTGCTCAGTGCTACACAGGAAGGCAAAAAAAACCCGGGGACCTGTGCCAATCTGCCCCAGGGGAAAACTACTTCCTGACTCCAAATTGGCGATCAGCTGTTCCATAAGCATGTGAGCAGGACTCGTCCCCTGGCCCCACAGGCTGGTCACACCTACCAGGGACACCACCACTGCCTGACTTGCATTCACTTCAGGGGCATCCCAGAATGGCAAAAAAGCCCTTGCACAGATCAGCCTTAGGGACGAGAATCCTTCCTGTGCCCTGCAGGACAGCAGTGGGTGCTCCAAAGCACTGGGAAGGTGCTGGCTCTGATACAACAATATCCAGTGAAAAGGCAGCATTGGGCACCTCAAGGTGTCAGTGTACTTCTCACCTCCCCAGGAGCTTCTCTCCATTCCCTGAAGGAAGGTTGCAGCATCACTGCCATTTGAAGGTGGCTCTGCCATGAGCTGAGATAGCAGCAGAGAACCTCCAGCAGCCCTGTTCAGCCCCGCATCTCCCACCTCAGCCCCTCCAGTTAATCCCAAGAAAAATAAAAATTAAGCATATGAGAACTGATTATGTCCTTAAAATCTGTTACTATCATTCATCCTGAAAACTTAATGTGAAAGATATGCTCAGAAAATACACTATTTAATTTGATAAAACAATCAATGAAGGTGCAGTGTGGCTTAATTCTTGATTAATGATTCTGCAATGATGATTCTGCAACCTCATATTTGAAATATCGTCCAAAAAAGCTACTGAAAGCTCATGAAAAACTACTGAAAAAATACATGGTGGTGTACTTTTAAGCATTCAGGTGTTAAAATTCAAAGTCTGAAAAATTCAGTTTGAATAAAAAAAAAAAATCCACCATGAACTCAAAAAATTACTTGCAATAATTCTGTAGATCCATAAAAGTACAAGCAAATGAAAATATTTGCTTATGAAGCAAAGTCCTAAGTCTTAACTAGAAGCCTAGCAACTGATTTTACATATTAACATTGTTCTCAAGTAAATATGCCCTTTTTATATCATATCAAATAATATAAGTGAGCAATCATCTCCACTGAAAAAAAGGTTGTGACTGAAGAAGTAATTACCAGTCTTCCTTTCATAGATAAAGATACCTGGCAAAATTAAAGACACATTTATTGCGTATGTCACAGTATCTGTAATGGTTTTTATTCTATCTGGCACAGACAACATAGACTTTAATCCACATAGACCCTGAGTAGATTTCCTAGTTACAAACATGTGCATTGATGTCTCTTCACTCTATTGTCATCATTAGGTATATTAAATCATGTAACAATAACACCAGTTAACTAAGCAGACATAACAGTAATTTTGAGGTAGCATTTTGAGTAACATGGTTTTGAATTCCTTGCTGTCCAAAAATTTTAAAACTGTTCATAGCAATTAACAGCTTTCATTATCTCATCCAAGACTGTAGGAAAGGGGGGAAAAAAGGCAAGTTTTACAAAACTGTATTTATTTTTTTGTCTTACATTTAAACATGTATTCCTTTTTAGATACCCAGTCAATATTTACTTTATTAGAGAGGAAAAAAAAAGATATAATTGCAGATCATACTGGCATAACCAGAACATACCTGCATTAGTACTGACCGCTTTACAAGAAGAAACCCTTCTTCAGCATTAAAATCAAGCACTTAAAAAAATATTCCTGAAAAGCAAGTGCCTCGATACTAGTCATGTCAGAAAAAAAAAAACAGCTTTTATGTATTCAAATATTTTAAGTTCATAATACACACACTTTCTTATTATGTGGATGGAGTTCAGATCATACAAACACTGTACAGATCAAAACCCTCAAAATTAAGTGTGTGAGAAAATTATAAATCAAATCTTACAAAGCAACAAATTTTGTCAAGTACTACAAAGAAGGATATGTTTTTGTATAATAATGGTCAAGTAACCTACCTTTTCTGCTCAAATAAAAACATAGAAATAATTTCATGATTTTGAGACAATAACACAAACTGTTGGAGTGGAAACTTACAACCTGTTATACCGAATATCTTTGTTGGCCACATTCGGGTATTTTAAAGACAAAGTTCAGATCAAAACCAGTAATAATGACAATGATCAAAGTATACATATGAGCGCTTAATCTAAATAATACTCTTTTGGCTGCTAAGGAAAAATAAATTAAAAAATACAATTAAAATCCTTGTAAATGCAATAATGAATTCAAAGGCGTGCCCTTATTTTAATACACACTTTAAATGCTACCACAAAACAGATTAATATACGCCAAAAGGTGTGAGTGGATTAAAAACAAAAACCAGCTACTTAGTTCAAAGAATTATAAAAAATTGAGATAATCTGAGTTTTGGTCAACAAATACACCTAGTCTCTTCTATCTTTCACACACCTTCTTCAATAACTGTGCTCTGGGTTCAGCAGTAGCAGTAATTTTTCTGCTTCTTGGTAGCTGTTCAGTGCTTCGTTTTTGACTCTCAGCCTGGGAACAATGCTGATAACACCAACGGTTTTAGCTGTTGCTAAGTAATGTTTGCTCTGACCGAGGACTGAGTCTCATGCGCGGCCAGGGAGGAGGGGAAGCTGGGGGGAAGCAGAGACAGGACACCTGACCCAAACTAGCCGAAGAGGTATTCCATACCACAGCACGTCATGCCCAGTATATAAACTGAGGGCAGCTACTTGGAAGGGCTAGATCACTGCTGGGGTTGGGCTGGGTATCGGTCGGCAGGTAGCGAGCAGTTGTATTCTCTTCCCTTGTTATTTCCGTTATAATTATTATTATTACTGGTGGTAGCAGCAGTGGTTTTGTGTTATACCTTAGTTACTGGACTGTTCTTATCTCAACCTGGGGGAGTTACATTCTTTCGATTCTCCTCCCCATCCCTCTGGGAGCAGGGGGAGGAAGAAAGAGGGGGGAGTGAAGAAAGAGGGGCTCCGCGGTTCTGAGTTACCGGCTGGGCTTAAACTATGACAGTTCTTTGTGGAGACCAACATGGGGCCTGAAGGGTTGAGATAACGACAGATGTGACCAGAGTGTGTCTAATCGTATCTGTGATAAGCATTCATTGTTTTGGATTAATAGTCACTCGTCACAACGCTGATTTATTGACTCTCAAAGTTGTTGCTCTTGATCTCAGAGTTTCAGCATGCCGTACCTTACTTACAGCTGGTATTTGCTGTTTTATCAGCTGGGGGGCCTGGGCTAAGGTTGTTGTTTCACTGTACTTTATGGTAATGACTTGTAATACAATAGACTTATTGATCATGAAACTGATCTGGCCTGCATTCCTACTGTGGTCATCACCTCTATACTTTGAGAGGTATATAATGGAAGTGTTTAGCAATTACACATCTGATTTTCCCTCCTCGGGTGGTCAACCTATGAAGGAGACATTCCTCTTAACACCCCCAGCTCCCCCACCAGACTATTTACAGCATCATTTGGGAGTTCTGAAGGTTTTGAATGGCCTTTGGGTACCCTTGAGACCTGCTTGTTGATTGTGACAGGGATCACCATGTTGGCACACATACAGAGGGTGTTTTACCCATGACCATTTCGTCTGATCTCAAAAGCTAAGCAGAGGTGGGGCTGGGTCTTGTCTAGGGTTAGATGACAATATAGGAGGTCCAAGAGATTTTCCCTGAGGCTAGACAGTCACAAGTGGCAGGGTATGTGGGACAGTATGGGCAAGTATCTAGGCCAGTGGGCCCCTCCACTGCTTTGGAACTTCACCACTGAACAAGTGCAAAACCCAGAAAAATTAGTAAAACACTTAAAAGGTGCGTTGTCATCCTGGTCATACCAGAGAGGGAGAAATGGCAACATGCTGGGGCCTGGCCTATGCTTACAGAGCCCTGTGCAACACTATCCAGCACCTTCAAAGGAAAAAAATGTCTCTGGATCTGATGACAAAGCAACAGACAGAGCAGCTACTCCAAGTATAGCAGCTACACCAGCATCAGTTACAAGTACAGCAACTATTCAAACCCCAACAGCAACAGACAGCACAGCTGCTGGTGCTGCTCAACCCCCAAGCACACCAGCTGCACCACGCCCGACAACAGGTACTGCAGCCACTCCAACCACAATGATAACCACTGCAGCTAAACAAAAGGCGCAGTTCGTGCCAATATCGGTTGCCCCTGTAGACAAGGATGAAAAAAAACAAAGAAAAAACACAAAAAGCATCCCATACAGTGAAGAAAGATGAAGAACCAATGCACTTACTAAGCAGGACAGCATCTGAACAAGAGTTATTATTATGTGAATCAGAGTAAGAGGAAGAAGAAGAGGCAACTTCTCGACCCCGGACTTCAACCGAGCCATGGAATATGCAAAAAAGATTTCACCCATCATCCAGGGGAGCACATCATCGCCTGGTTGCTCCGATGCTGGGACAATGGGGC